CCAGCAACGTTTTATATTTATATTTGTATTATGTTTGTATTACTTTTTAAACTATATAAACAGTGATCAACCATTGCTGTTGTTGTTTTCAATCCATTAAAGATAATTCTAAGTCATTGTCTGTGCAGAGGATAGAGTGTGGGACAGTAATGTCCTGTGTGCCATGAGAAGTAAAGGCTTCTGCAATCCAAAGGACACCCCATTTAGGAGGCTGCCTGTTGCCTCTCTGCAATAATTATTCTGGAATTTCTTAGGGAGCTTGAGCAAAATGTTTCTCCAATTTTAATTCGGGAATAATCCCACAACTGTTTCAGCTATCAGTATAGGATTTTCCTTGTGCAATGGAACCGCCTTCCTTTTATCCTCCCGCCATCTATTCCTCCAATCCTCCAAAGCAGATTTGGGAATGGTGTGAGGCATGCAGGGGAGGAGAGGGGGAAGTCACACTGCACTGGCGGGAATCTTTGTGATGGATTCCTGTGGCACAAAAATTTTGTTGAATATGGTCCTCATCTTCCCTTCTCACTCCCAGCAGGCACTTCTTGGCGGGAGAATTTGGAACTGTAGGGCAGGGATAGGGAACCTGTGGCCCTCCAAATGGGACTATGACTCCCAGCATTCTTGACCATGCAGGCTGGGGCTAATGAGAGGTGGAGTCAACCACATTCAAAGCACCACAGGTTTCCTGTGCCTGCTGTAGGAGGAAATTTCACTACCTTGTCAGCAGAACCAGGACCTCCTCTCCTTTTTCTCCTTCTGCCTCCCTCTCTAGGATAGGATGCCACTGGTGGATTGTGAACTTTGATTCTGTTCATCTGCCCTAAGCCAAGCATGGACTGGATGGCAGATAATACCTGGTCTGTATTGACCACACTCTTAGGCATCCCATTTATTTATCTTCTGCACACACACAAAAAAAAAGATTGGGTAGAGCTCGTGTCTGAAAATGAGTTTATTTTAACAAACCTGTATTTAAAATAGTTATTCACACACACACACACCCCTTATTCTGGAACAATTTCTTCAGTAGAAATGGATGTGCATTGAGGATGGGAACTCTGAAATTCCAGCTAAACGTTAAGCACAGCTGAGCAAGAATAAAAACATTTTGCCATACGATTTTCTGCTGTCACAACTTGGCATCAAAAATGTCTCCACAGCAATAGACAATACATTTTTTCACACTTGCATAGTATCTGAACGGGATTCATTTTTTGTCAACTGGCAACGTGTCAAAGAGAAAATAGCACAAGCATTTCTCTGCTCATAGTTTCTGAGGGGTTTAGAGCTGTGCAGCTTCCCCTGTGAGCTGTAAGATATATCCTTTGAGACAGTACCATATGGGAAAAGAATGAAAAACTTCTGATGTTGTTATTGCAGAGTTGTATGAAACCAACAGCTGGGGATGAGGAATAGAGACAGCTGTTTGTTATTCTTTCCTTACCAAAGAGTTCAATGTTAGTTTTAATTTTACTTGTAAATAATCTCTGGCTTTCCTTTTCCATAGTTAAATCCTTGATCTTATGTGAACAATAGATTTCAGAAATAAGGAAGTATCCAGTCTCTTCATGCCAAATGCAGTCAACAGACCCTACTTAAGATATAAATAGAACTAAAATAGGTGGGGCTTCTGGCCACCAGGACAACATTAAAACTCTCTAAGGGATTTTTTGTTGTGCTGATTTCAATTAACTAGCACAGTGATTCCCAAGTGAGGGGGGAAGGCCTCATGTTTTGAAGGGATACCATTACTGCACGTTCCAAGTATTGTAAACACAGCATACATATTCATCTAATGCATTTTTACATATGATAAACCAGAGACAGTGAACCTTTTGCCCTTCAGATGTTCATGGACTCCAGCCCCCATCAGCTTCAGCTACCATGGCCAGTGCTCAGGGAGGGTGATAACTGTAATCCCGCATGATTGTGATAAACCATGGCTTATCACAATGGGAGTGAGCCTTGGGGAGCCTAAGTGGAGAAGACTAGGAGCTGGTGCTTTTGTTTTTTATTTACCAGAGCTCAATGATGTCCAAATCCTAAACTGTAACTAATTTTAAATACAGTTGTTGAAACAAGCCAGTTTCATAACCCATGGCATGAAGTTGGCTAGTTTCAAACAAAGCATAGCTGAGATTAAGCACAGTTTGTGCTAAGCTACGGTGCCCTGCTCTGTTTCAGGGCTTACTGCTGGCAAGCTATCTGTGTGCTAGGGCACAGCTGGAACCTCTGCTGTTCTGGAGTCCTTTCCCCCAGCAGTGTACCTCTGCTAGCAAAGGGGCTTTTACTCACATCCTAACCCACTCAGGCATTAACATCTGTGTAGAAGTAGGACCACTCTTAGACTGTAATCAGGGGGCCTGGCTTCATAGACTACAGTATAGTATAAACTTAACTTTTATATACACTGGGAAACCTAAAAGACTGTGTGAATTGCTTTATTTTGATACTGTATTTGCTTTATTCTGGTGGTTTGGAACCAAACCCACAATATCTCTGAGGTATGTATGTATTGGTCCCAAGCTAAAAGGGGGTTTGTACACCAGTGCAGTACAGTGGTACCTCGGGTTAAGTACTTAATTCATTCCGGAGGTCCGTTCTTAACCTGAAACTGTTCTTAACCTGAAGCACCACTTTAGTTAATGGGGCCTCCTGCTGCTGCCGTGCCACCGCTGCAAGATTTCTGTTCTCATCCTGAAGCAAAATTCTTAACCTGAAGCACTATTTCTGGGTTAGCGGAGTCCGTAACCTGAAGTGTATGTAACCTGAAGCGTATGTAACCCGAAGTACCACTGTAATAGGACAATAGCACCCAGTTTGGCTTGAGTGTTAGGTGAAAACTGGGCCTCTGGAAGTGTTGAGACTTCTTGGTGCTTATTGAATATCCCTGATAAGCACACATCCCTCTCCCTTCCTGTGAGCTGGGGAATGGCAAGGGTTCAACCACACCTTACTGTTGTGCTGGGTCTTAGTATGAAATCAAAACCTCACCCCACCTTCTTAAGCCTGCCTGCAAACTTGGGCTCATCTACCAGTCAAACTTTTGAGGAAGCCCATGTTTGTAGCACAATTTATAACTTTAATCTCTTGGCATAGAGCTCAACAGACATCTAGAAGAAAAAGGGAAGGTCTGGAGAAGAACACTTTTGACACAGTGTTATTAGAGAGAAAGATACTTATCTAAGAAAATTCCAGTTATTACCGTTTACATTTAACAAGAAACATGCAAACAGTACTAATATAGTAATCTTGGGAAACTTTCAGTGAAGCAAGACATTCTTGAAAGCTCTATTGGAAAAAGCAATGAAAGCAAAATGAATATAAATGAATGTGACAGGCTATGCAAGGAGAATGCTCATTAGCATTTGTAAAGGTCAGGCCTGGTTCCCAACATGGATTAAAAGCACTATTCCTCAACTTAATCCTCAACAGGTAAAAGGAACTGAGTCTTGCAGCAATATCCCTTTGGAAATATGTTACTGCATAAAACGTATTTGATTAGAATAAAAGGGCAGAATAAGTGTTTCCAGTCTCAGCTATATCATTTTCATTCAACTACCATCTAGCTACAATCCCATCTATACAACTCTAAGACTGCAATTCTATGCATATTTTCCTGAGTTGAACACAGTGGGATTTACTTATGAACGAACATGCATAGGAGTACACTATAAGCATAGTGTTATATATCTTACTAGGTGCAGCAAGCAACATTTCATGTTTTGAAGTTCACCTGAACTGAAAAATGATCACACACTCTGTTTCAGTATAAAAACACAGACAAAAAAAATAATTTGAGTCAAAACGAAAATCTGGTTTCCAAAACCGGATTAAGGTGCACAAAAACTCAAGTGTAACACAGTAACATCTAGCGACCCCAAGCAAAAGTGGGCTGCCAATAAGTTTTGTTTTCTAGAATTGTTTTTGCCAGTACACTGTCAACCCAGGCCTGCTGTTGGGGAAAGGTCTATGTCCCACAAGCTCTGAAGAGACTCTCCTCACACTTCAGGAAAGGTGCTCTTCTGTCATTGACTGAAGTAATGTAAAGGAGTGTGGGGGTCAGGGAAAAGTAATAAATGCTTCAGAAGAGAAAGGGATGCGGATGAAGACAAACCTAAGAATCTGCTTTAGGTGTGCTTTCTCACGTCTTCTACATTGAAAGGATCCCAATGTCTCTTTAGAAGCTGCAGAAGTGGTTTTTGGGTAGCACGATTAGTGCGGCCACACTGGGTACCCATTGCAGGCAGCACCACAACAGTGCTGTAGAATGGAGCATGAAAGGCAGGGGGAGGGCAAAAATTTTAGCGATATACAGGGAGCCGCTGAAATTTTGAGAGCCCAAATTCTGCCAGTGGATGTTGACAATGATTAAGGCAACACCACTAAACTAGACAACCCTAGAGTCGGACACGACTGGCCCGTATGGGCAGGGGTACCTTTACCTTTACCTTTACTAAACTAGTACTAGTTTCTACCACAGGCACCAAACTATTCCTGCTACTAATATTAACACGACTAAGGGCTTCAGCATAGTTATATAAATGGGAAAAAGCTGTTGGTTGAAAATAGCTGTTACTCTGGAAAACAAAGTTTTGCAGTGTAATCTTAGGCATGTCTACACAGAAGTAAATTCCACAGCGTGGATGGGACTGTTTCCTACATAAGTATGCACAGGATTGCAGCTGCAGAAACTGAAGAGTGAGATTTGATTCCTTCATCTTCTCGAGCCAAAAAACTAAGAATAAATCACGATGCTTTACACGAATGTTGAGTCCTTGTGTTTTCAATAGGGGATTTCAAATCCCAATACAGCTTTTCTGACGCAGACATTACGGGGGGACATTGAAAGTTTTACTTTTTTTATCAAAAGCAGCAAATTAACATCCAAGAAGCTGCTTGCCAAAACACAGCCCTCTAATAAATAAAACCTCCAGAGTTTTAATAACCAAGCGAAAGGCGCATGCGTAGAAGATGGGGAGGAAAGAGCCTCCTTCGCCCTCTCCCTCCTCCTGGAGAATCGGGAACGGAAACCTCGCGGCACTTGCCGCGAGATGTTATGTGGACGATGGCGTCCGAAAACAAACGGAAGCGCCGAAAGGTGACCACATAGGAGGGGGGGAGGGCGGAGAAAAAATCCTCTCAGCTTCTTGCCTCGCTCAGGAAGCCTGTTTGGCGATGGCAGCAGCGACGACACCCCCCGCGCACTGGAGCCGCTTCGAGCAGGAGCAAGACGTGACGTTGCGGGAGCTGATCCGAAGGGTAACCGGCCTGAGCGGGCAAAGCAAGGAAGAGGCGGCCCACTTCCAGGCGGCGCTGAACTTCTCCTGGTCCAACTTCAGGTCCGTTATCGGGGGGGCGTGGCGTGGCTCGTGCCCAGAGCGGCGGTTGGGGAGGGGAGGGGAGGGGCGGGAGAGGCGCGCGACCAGTTTCACCTGTTACCGGTTGGAAGTCTCCGCCTTGGCCTCCCATTGGCCACTTATGTGGGTTAAGGAAGGGGGGTGGAGGAGAGCCCCATCCTGGCCAGTGACCGCAGTAGAGGAATGGGTTGATGGGTGGGACCCAGGCTTAGTCACGCTTCAGAGAAGGCCCACTGGTTTCATTGGGTTTACCGCCCCCCAAGTCTGGCTAAGACTGGATCCAGCCCCGAGTTGTTTAGTACATTTGTAGCCAACCTTCCTAATACCTTCCAACATATCTCCGATGAAAATAGGGATGTCCTACTCCATAATAATAACAATAATATTCTATGGCATCCTATGACCTTTTAAAATGTGGCTCCTTTTTTCCAGGGGGGTGTTATTGGGTTGCTGTTTTTATTTTGATTATACTGTATGTACATATTGTGGTTTTATATTTCAATTTTGTTCTGTGAACCGCCCTGAGACCTCTGGGTATAGGGGGGTGTATAAATTCATTCATTCATTCCATCAGTCCATCCATCCATCCATCAGGGTACAGGGCGGTATATAAATTCATTCATAAATAAATAAAATAAAATAATAAACTTTTATTATTTACCCCACCCAATTGACTAGGTTTCCCCAGCCACTCTGGGCAACTTGCAACATATATAACAACATAATAAAACATGAAACGTTGAAAAAAACACATCCCTATATGGGTCTGCCTTCGAGTGTCTTCTAAAGTTTGTATAGTGACTTATCTACTTGGCTCGCGTAACTCCATACCCTCCGTTTCTCCAATGAAAGTAGGGACGTCCTAAGGAAAAGCGGAACCTTTGTGGATCAAATAAAAAACTGGGATGGCTTCTGTAAATCCAGGACTATGCCTGGAAAATAGGGACACTTGGAGGGTCTGGTGTTATAGGTCTCAGTAGTCACTTCAAGTCACCAGTCTAGCTGCCGCATTCTGGATTAGTTGTAGTTTCCAGGTCACCTTTGAAGGTAGCCTCATGTAGAGAGCATTGCAGTAGTCCGAGGCGGGAGATAACTAGAGCATGCACCACAATACTGAGACAATACTGAGCTAAATAGACCAATATTATAACTTCATAAGGCAGCTTCCTATGCTGCTGTATAAATGCGTATAGAATTTTTACTTTTCTTCTAGAAGTGGAATGTAGCTTAGTAGTAGAACATCTGATTTTTATGCACAAGATCCTAGTTACAAGCCCTGGCAACTCTAGCTAAGAATGGGAATGTCCCTTTCTGAAACCTGGGGGAGTTGCTTCTGGTCATTGTAGACAATACTGACTTGGATATGCGGGGGTATGACTTTTTATAAGGCAGCTTCCTGCACTCTTAGAATACAACTATTAACTGCAGCCACCATGGTCAATGGTTAGGATGGCATTTCACTTCCAATTCATGCTTGAGAGATATAAAATATTCAGGGTGTGAATGCCATTGCTTCTGTAGCTAAAACTCCACCACTCACTTACAAGAGAGGGGTATGAAAAGACACAAGGTTAGCAGACATAAAAAATCATTAGAAATTAAGCACTAAGGAGGAACCCCAAAAATAAATCTATTGAGGACTGGGCATGATCACTGGTCGTGGAATGCTAACCGACAGGGGTGGGGAGAAAGGAAAAATCTGGGTGGAATGAGCAGCAGAATGGAGTATCCTAGAAAAGGGGCTGGCTGGCTGGAATAGTCAACAGGAGTCCTCCACACTGCAACATTTTGTTGCAAGTTTTACTTGCATACTCCACACCAAAACTTTTGAAAAATGAAACTATGTGGTGCAATAGATATTTTATTATTTTTTCTTTAGGTTTCATCAATTTCTTGATGTCAGCCAGCACAAAGTGGACAAAATAATAGAGGGGTAAGACATTTCTATTTTTATGACATTGGACTAGTTGTTTTCTGTTGACAGATTTACTTATAAGCACTGAACTTTTTGATACAGGATTTATGAAAAGCTGATAGTTCATTCAGACCTTGTTAAAGCTGCAAGCTGGAAGAGTTTAACAGAAGAGTTTCTGAATTCTCCGCTTCCAACTACTGAAGGAACAAAGGTATGCAGTTTAGAAAACAGATTTCAGTTGTGTTATATTCTTTCTTTCTAAATAAGGAACATACCATGGAGAACAAGTAGTCTTTATTTACAGAGTTCTTATAGTTCTAATTTCCTGTTCTAACTTAACTGTATTAACTGCTTCATAATAGATATCCTAGCTCTTATATATATAATTTACTTATTAATTTATCAACACAGCAAACATTTTGTGCTTAGCAGTATTTTAAATATCTGTACTCAGAACTTGAATTGTTCAAACAGTTGGAGGTTTACCATGAAGGCAGTAAATTCCAGTTTTAGTAATGTTTCTCTGACCAATTTGTGCTGATTAAAAGCTATAATTATGAAATACAGACTTCAGCTAATTGAAATGCACTGTTATGTAGCCTAGTGTCTTGTTTTTCATGTGATTCTGCATCGTGATCCTTTTACTGCTGTATTGAGATGTGTGATAAACTGAAGCTTTTATTTTGCATTTCTAAATATATCGTTGTACTAGAAGTCCAGTCTATTCATTTCCATAACTATTAACAAATACATTTCCTCCACTGAATTATTTGTTTGTCTTCCGTTTAAGACAGATGTCCATTATGCCATACTCTCTCTTCTGTTGTGCTTATCTGATTCTCCTTCCAACACCAGTTATGCAGAAAAACCAAGAGAGCAAGAAGTGGGTAGGTTTTAATATATTACACATAATTCAGGAACCAAATGGGAAAACTGGACATTTCATCCCTTTTGAAACCTTTATATAACATGATTGTTAATCTCATGCCAATTCCTTTTTATTTTGTGAGTTATTAGTATTAGATTGTCCATGTATATTGAAATATAATAAATAATGTATACTATTAGTTAGCTTTTCCATATCTCTCTGCACTGTAGTAGTTCAGACTACTTACATAATTGTCATGTTCTTGGAAGAAATGGGATTATTTATTGATTTGATTTCTTACTTGTCCTTCGCTACAAATTTCCAGGGCAGGTTCCAGCAATTTCAAACAATATTAAAATCAATTTAAAAGTATTACAATCAAATGTGATAGGGTGGGTCATATGTGTGTGTGTGTGTGTATGTATGTATCAGGTGTCAAAGACGAGGGTAAAGTGTCTTCATTGGAAATGACACACTGAAGGTGCCAAGCGGACCCCTGTGAAGAGGGAATTTCAGAAAGCCCTCTCTTGTCCTGCTACTCCCCAAATGTCTGAGGGCGGTGGAACTACAAAGAGGCCCCCTCTGCTGATCTTAACACCTGGGTGGGTCTATAGGGAAGGAAGTGGTCTTCAAGATATTTGAGGCCTAAATTATGAGCACCTTGAACTGGATATGCAAAATGATCACCCATGCAGCTGTTTTGAAACAGGGATTATATGAGTTCTTAATGGTACCTGAGCCAATAATATGGCTGCTGAATTTTGGACCAGTTGTTGAAGTTTTTGAGTCATCTTCAGGGGCAGCTCCCAGTACAGTGCTTTGCAACTATCCAGCCTTGAAGTACTAGAGCATGGAGAACAGTGGCTAATTGTCTAAAACAGGCCATAGCTGGCAAACCAGTCTAAGAGGTCACTTGAGCCTTCAATGACAATGTTGGATCCAGGAATATCCCAAAACTACAGACCTGCTTTTTTTTTTAATCTAGAAAAAGAAGAATTTGATTGGAGGAAATACTTGATGGAAGGTGAAGAATTTGACTATGGTCCTGATGTAGAAACACCAGTAAGTAATACATAGAGCTGCATTATAAAGTCACAGGATACATTGGAAAACTGGGGAACTATTTCTGCAGACCAAAGACTTCTGTAAATCCATCTGCTTTTTATTATTTTTATTATGACTTACTTACATAGTAAGAAACAACAACAACTCCCCGCCCCCCTTTAAAAGACCATGGATTGTTTAATTAGCCAAAGGTCTGGGAGAAGAGGAATTTTTTTGCTTGGCACTTAAAGCACACAACAAATGTGCAGCTGAGCCTCTGGGGAGAGCATTCCATTATTATGCTCTGCTCATAAGCTTTTCTGTGGCATTTGACTGGCCAGTGTTGGAAGAAGAATGTCGAGCTAGATAGATTTTTTAATCTAAATTAATGAGGCAGTGATTATGCTTTGAGGGTGTTTGGTGATGGAACTTGTGAAGAAAGGCATTGTTAATAGGTTGAAGGGGGATCTGATTTATCTGTTAAGACATACGGTAATACATTTTCTAAACTTGATTGTGTTTCTTGTCCAACAAAATGTTCATTTTATTTTGTAAAAATGCATTGTAAGGTTCCCACCTGTCTTGAATTAAAATATACTTTGTATGCTTATGTTTTACAGGAGTGGTCTGATGTAAGTGATGATGATGAAGATACTGAACCACTGAGTAGAGAAGACTCTGGCATTCAGGTGGACAGGACACCCCAAGAAGATCAGGATCAAAACAAGAAGTCATCACATGTCACATGGAAAGGTTTGTTCTTCAAGACTTGCTTAATTTAGCTAGTTTTTACCTTTTGTGAAGCATATTGCTGTCATGTGGCTAATTGCTTTGAACTTTATGAAAGTTTGCATACTTAATATTGAAACTTGAGCTGGCAAGTCTCAATACTCCACAAAGCAGGAAAATTAGAGTATGCGTTTTGGCAACAAACCATCATGTTTGGTGGCCTCTCTTTGGTTGAACTCCATAGTAGGAGGGGCCCTCAGTTAAGCTATTGCCAAATTCCATTTGAGAGAGTTGCTAGGCACCAAGGCACTATGAGGTAGGGTCCAGCCTACCATTGGACACTTCCCCCTCTAATATGCTCTTACCACTACATGCTTGTATTTTGTTTTCAGGCAATTTCATAGTAGGAGAGTTGTTAGGCTCTTGCTCAGTATAGAAGAGATGCCGTTTTTGAGTCCAGCTTCCTGGTCAACCAATAATCTTAGTGACCATGGGTCTAAATTGTTTTCCTGCTTCTGGAAACATCTGTTTCTGGTTTGTGAATTTTCAAATTGACACCTATTTCAGTTTGCCTGATTGCTCCTGAGATTTAGGATCCTCTAAACTTACCTGAGATGAAACCCTGTTAAACTCAGTGGGGCATTCTTCCCCATAGACATGTTAGGATTGCTCTTGTTATTTACATTATAAAGTTTTCTCTTCTATGTAAATGGAAACTGGAGTGAAATATCTTGTATGCAGGTGAACCTGATGCACGTACCTGGCTAGAGCAACATGTAGTTGCTCAATACTGGACTGGCAGAGGAGTTCGTTTTCCCCATAGTTTGCATTTTCATTCCAATTTAGCGGCTGTATGGTAAGTAGTTAAGTTAATTTTGTGTTGGGAGGATATAATTTATGATCAGCTGACTACTACTTTACGATAATTTCTAAAAACCCTATTGCAGATGCCATTGCATGCTATGAAATGTTATATTGGGTTGATTCCTGCCCTACACTCCCCTCTCTGGTTATTTTGTATATATGTGTACTAATGATAAAACGGAATTTAATATGTATGAAGAAATGCTTAGATTCTGAAACTGTCATGAATATCTCTGAAGGATTACAAAATGTCTTGGGACTGTGTTATTCTTATGTCATAATGGTGTCAGAAATGGTGTATGCAGTTTGCAATTTAAGAATAGCATGCAACTCTTGAAAGTAAGTGATGCATTTAAAATATTCAAAGAGCTTTTCAAGCTAGAAACAGAGTAGTTCATATGCATTAAAAAAATAATAAAGCAGAAATGATTAATTTGATTCGCTAAGTACATTGGATCTGCAGGAGAGGAGCAAATAAAAGGAATAATATTTGATATTGGTTACCAGCAATTTTGGTTGTAAAAAAATAATGATGATTTTTCCTTCTAGGGAGCAGCACTTATATACTAGTGATCCCTTGTACATGCCGGAAGAGAAAATTATTGTTACTGAAACACAAGTCATTCGTGAAACAATTTGGTAAGTAGCAGGACTAAAGAAATTACCACTTGAAATCTGTTTAATGTTCTTTCATGGAATACTCTCAACATTCAGACTCATGTGGTTATGCTATTCCTTTACTTCAATGCCTTCACTCATAATGACAATTCTGGTATTGCAATAGCTTTAGAAGGAGCAGCTTTAGAAGGAATTTAATGCTTTGCATTGCTCTTGAAATACAATAATTCTAAATGTTATCTTAAAAGACCTTGCTACCTTTCTTGTGTAAATTTAATTCATTTTAGCATGCCTCTTATCAGTGAGAGAAAATTGTGTTACTCAAAATCAAGCTGTTTCCCCTCTCAAGCATTAACAATATGAATAACACAACTTTGAAAAATAAGCACCTTCTTAATGCAGTCTGCAAATCATTTTCTTGTGGTGTACTCTGTAAAGTTGAGCCCGCTTCATGAAAAGTTGATGGAGAAAATGACCACAATTTCCCCAAACTTAATTGTGGGCTATTACTTTTAAAAGTCATCTGAAGGCAGCCCTCTTTAGAAAAGTTTTTAATGTTTGATGCTGTACTGTTTTTAATATTCGGTTGGAAGCCACCCAGAGTGGCAGGGGAAACCCAGCCAGAAGGGCGGGGTATAAATATTATTATTATTATTATTATTATTATTATTATTATTATTATTATTATTACAAAACTACTTATCCATGCCACCATTTCACCAACACATAGATCTAATCCAAAGGTATGTCCAAATCAGTCAAACTTGTAAGACCTAATATTTGTCTGGGGTCCTTTTGAATATATCCTATATTTTGTATATATAATGATGTTTCTGCAGTCCTAAAAAATTGTTCTGTATGTTGTACTGTGTTTTGTACATGCTAAGTCAGTTCTTCTTACTTTTACAGGCTGCTTTCAGGCGTAAAAAATCTGTTTATATTTCAACTGAATGATGGAAAGATTACTGTGAGAAATGACATCATGATGACTCACTTGACCCACGTAAGTTCAGTGATCAGCCTAGATCAGTAATCAAGGTGCAAAGAAAGCCTGATGTTGGCGTGTGGAAGAAGGATTGCTTGCAAAAGATGATATCTTACCCTCTGAGTTTTCTATATTGGTGTGTTAATACTAAAGACAAAACAAAACCACATTTGTTTTGCAGAACTCATTAAGATCAATGTTGGAGCGGATAGCAGCATATGGGCAAGTTGTATTTAGGCTGCAGAAGTTTATTGATGAAATAATGGGTCACAGCACAGAAAGTGGAATACATGGAATCATTTCCACTCCCAAGAAATCGGCAGAAGCCCCATTTAGAACCTATCAAGCTTTCATGAGAGCCCTCTATAAATATTTCATAAGTTTCAAAGAGGAACTTACCGAAATTGAGAGGAGCATAATCAACAAAGGTAGTATACTTTGGATTATAGTAGAAGAGTTTCCGTAACTCTTAATCTGCTGTGAAAGCATAAGTTGTGAACTAATAACCACGCATTATGAAACATGACTGTATTTCTGTTCTACAGATGCAACAATCACTCTTTCCATAGTCATGGATAAGTTATCACATCGATTAGCTCAGCTCAATATACTTCATAAGGTTTTTAGCACTGGAGTAGCAGAAGTACCTCCTGACACTCGCAATGTTGTAAGAGCATCTCATTTGCTCAATACCCTGTACAAAGCAATTCTTGACTACGATAACGTTGGGGAAGCCTCTGAACAAACGGTATGTAGAAGCTGTTCATCATGATTTCTTTAGGAGAAAAATAAGTTATTACATCAGTCAACTGATGACTAGACATAAATTATAAATGCTTTAATATACAAGTGTCAGTTGTAGTGTCTTCCTATGCTCAAACAATATGTTCTGCAAAACTATAAATGTTTGTACAGCTGATTGTGATAGTTAGGATTCGAAATTCACTGTATGCCATTTGCAAAAAAGATAAAATCCTTTCTATGTGTGCATATCGTTTTCCTTGACTCTATACTGTAAACATATTGGAGAGGCTATATATGCTTTACTCGTGAATTCATGAAATATTTATAAATCACCCAATAATCCTGTTTAAAATTTCATTGCAGGTATCCCTCTTGTTTTCTCTCTGGGTTGAAACAGTGAGGCCATATTTACAGACAGTGGACGAATGGATTGTCCATGGTAACTTATTTGATCCAGCAAAAGAATTTATTATTCAGAGGTAGGGATAATGAACTTGTCTTTTGGATATACTGGTGTTTCTTAGGGCAGAGAACACTTCCTATATGGCAGTATCTGAACCCAAAAGCAGTAGTGCACATGTAAGAGACTTTTTTTCCTTTCTAACTACCAGCTTCCTGTACAGTCATAGGGTTTCGTCTCCCTTGACGATAAGAGACCACATGTATAAATGCAGCTGACTTGTAATCTTCATCTTCTGCAAGGCTGAGACAGACCAGGACAATTGAGTTAACCTGGGTGATTGTAATTAATAAAATGACAAGCAATGTTTTAATGAAAAATATTGTAGCAGTGCAGCTGGGCTGTGATATGCACCTTGTATTGAATTTTGTGAGAATATTATTCACTGAATGTTAATTGTAAAAAGTTTGCTCGGGATTTTTAAATCATGAATATGTGGGTTGAAGGAAACTCAAAGGCATGTTTGCTCCAGGTGCTTATGCTTGCAGTTCCTTTTGTTCAGTGTTCCTGCTTAAGACATTTGTAATGCCATGGCCAGTTTGTGCTTTATAACATCATTTAACTACTGTTACGTGTTCAGTAAAGCCTTGGCACAGATATGTGTTGCGATATCTAAGAGCCTTATCCATTGTGACTGTTGATCTGTAAATCCTAGTTCTAAAAACTTAGTATTTTCTCAATCAGAATGTTTGTATTACCGTTCTGAGAGTTCAAAGCTGTTTCTGTGGATTCTGAACCTTAACAAGACCCCCCAAATATTTAATCTTGTGGTTGAATGTTTTTCTTTATCTTGATCACCTGCTTCAGGCTATTTTCAATAATTGTCATGATATAAAGAATTAGGAAGTGTTATAGTTTCTTAAGGAAGAACTAATGATCGCATGTCTGTCTTTGCAGAAACAAAAACGTTCCAGTTAACCATAGGGATTTCTGGTATGCTACCTACACTTTGTATAGTGTGTCGGAAAAGACAGAGAATGAGGAAAAAATGAGTGATAATGCTAGTGCCAGTTCCGGCAGTGATCAGGCACCCTCAAGTAGACAGCATACCATGGTCTCTTTTCTGAAACCTGTACTAAAACAGATCATTATGGCTGGAAAGTCCATGCAGTTGTTGAAGAACTTGCAATGCACAGATGGTTCTCCACAGCAGGCTGCATCAAGAGGTGATAAAACCCTATTTTACTGTGTAAATGTTATTATTATTCCAGGTTTTAGCGGCATGCAGCACTTCATATTGCATGTGAAAATGCAGCCCACATAGTAATGAAATAGCAATGAAAAAATAGTTTTGGCATATTGGTAGGTATTTAGCATTTCAGATATAGGTCCCTCTATTTCCCACTGAATTTTACTCCTTTAATTGTTAAAAATCTTAAAAATCAGTTATTAGACTACTGATAGATTATATTTGAATTTAAATGATTTTTCATTATTGTTAATTTTTAGCCAGACCAGAAAATAGTATCATAACAGTGTAAAATACCAAGATAAATGCTATTTTCTGGTATCCGTTTTCTTTTTTCCTTAAAGTTTACAAACCTAACTTTTCCATTTTGTGGAGGCAAATGTTTGTTTAAATTGCCATCACCACATGATTGTTTTGCTGTGAAACTTTTATCTTGTGAAAATATCCCAGTATGCATTGTGCAGTCAAACTTCTGTGGTTTGTAATCATAAGACTCAAGTGTGCTATCAAACATGCACCAACGGGTCTCCTCTGACAGATGGACTATTGTTTCTTTATTGAACATTACTGGAGCATTAGAAGCAATAAGGAGCGCAAGTGTTATGTGTTAAATAGGTTTACAGTGTTTGAGAATCCTACCTTAAAGCACCTCCTAAATTTTTTTTCTGAACTCAGTTGAGAGATAAAAATGGTGCATTTTTTCTTTTTCTTTCTTTTTTATTGTGGCTTACAACAAACAGCTATTTCTGAAAAGTAAATAATAACCTACATATATTTGTCCTATTCAGATGCAGAGAGGAAAAGCTTGTACACATTATTTCTGGAGTCTGTGCAGTCACGCCTACGGCACGGGGAGGAACCTGTTCAAGATATCATTACAGAACAGCAGGCCACCAAGCAAAGTCTAATAAAGATGCAATCTATTGCAGCAAGACACTTAGAGCTGGATGATGTTCACGATCCCTTGCTGGCTATTAATTTTGCAAGGTAATAGAAGAGATTCAAAATAATTGATTCTCCCTACTGTGTCACTGTCCAAAGTCAGATTCTACCAAGCACATATTGGGGAATTCCTGCTGTTCAGGCAGCTAGCGTGTGACTTGGAATCCAAGTTGCTGAGAGGCGGCTTGTCACAGTACAGTATAGCCTTCAGAAGCCATACATCATTAATCTTTATTGCCTTAGGCACTGGCCACAGCAGTTGTCAGGATCTATAGTGTAAAAACACAGCAGCAAAACCTGTTGCTGATTTTAGGTAGGTATTTTCCCTCTTAGAGATACACTGTGTCTGAGGAAGTACAGGACGAGATGTGTGTCTGTTTTCCGGTTTGTGAGAGAATCATGAGAGTCTGGGGTGAGGAAGAGGGGAAATAGTCACAAATTCCTGAAAAATATGAATCTGTCAAAGCCCGATTATAATGTTGCGCCTTGTAGCTTGGTTTTAATGATATGTTTTGCTTATCATGAACCCAAAGATTACTGTTCATAGAAATAAACTACAGTGGTACCTTGGTTCTTGAACGGCTTGGCTCCTGAACAAATCAGATCCTGAACACCACAAACCCGGGAGTGTGTATTCCGGTTTGCAATCTTTTTTCGGAAGCCAAACATCTGATGCGGCTTCTGATTGAGTGCAGAAAGCTCCTGCAGTCAGTTGGAAGCCGCGCCTTGGTTGTCAAACAGTTTCGGGAATCGAACGGACTCCTGGAATGGACTAAGTTCGAGAACCAAGGTACCACTGTATTAGAATTGGGCTGGTTTTTTTTAACTGGGGGAGAGGGAAATTCTGATAAGTTCCAGAAGGTCATCTAGCACCTAAAGATTGTTAGGTCTGTCCAGAAGGCTGTGAGATTGGTAAGAGGGCCCAATCTGCAAATTCAGGTTTCATCCTACACTGAAATTTTGTACTAGTAGGTGCTGGTGACAGGTTTCTAGATGCCAACATGTGTTGCTGTAAAAGTTACAAGGCCCACAGAAGCTAGAAAATATGCCAAATACATTTTGTCTCTCTCCTCCCCACAATTCACAGTATTCCAGACAGAATCCTGCTATAGAGCTAGAAGCCCTGTGGCAAACTGTCTCCCAGCTTTGGGGTGGAACTTCATGGGATTTCTACAGCAGATTTTGCTCATCACAAAGAGCTCTAGTATTAACAGAAGATTCTTAAGACATTTCATGTCTAATTATTATTATTATTATTATTATTATTATTATTATTATTATTATTTTGTAGGTTGTATTTGGAACAAGGCAGTTTTCATGAGACGCTTACTGGTGATGATGTATGCGTGGATAGATCATCCGAATCAGTTACGTGCCAGACATTTGAACTGACATTGAGGTCATGTCTTTATCCTCACATAGACAAACAGTATCTGGAGTGCTGTGGAAACTTAATGCAAACATTGAAGAAAGATTACAGGTAAGAATTAAAATACTTATGCACTGATGACTTTATTAGTTCTTGTAATATGCTTAAGGCAGTAGTAGAGACCTGGATCGGATTTCCAGTCATTAGTGATTGATACTACTTCACTCACTCAGCTTAGGGACCCAGTCTTTCTTGATTCCTTATGGAGGAAGCATCTGGGTCACTCTTGTTGCAAAAGAGGCAGAATTCAACAGCAGAAAGGCTGGGTACATGGTTGACAGAGAAAGTTACCGTAATGCTCTGACAGAAGAATGTTGGCAATGAAAATAGAGTTTAAGGCAAGATGCAGCTTTCTTACTGCAGGAGTTGGGTCTTCTGAACCATGAAGTTTACTAGTATTTGTATTTTTTTAGCTCAGTGTCCTTAATAGTTCACGTTTGGAAGGTTTCCTAGCATAGCTTAAGTATTAAAGGTATGATGAAGTGAAATTTGAATAAATGTGTGTTTTTGTTTCTTAGGCTGGTAGAGTACTTGCAGGCCATGAGAAACTTTTCTTGCTTGAGGCTGGTGATACTATGTATGACTTCTATACCTCCATTTTTGATAAAATAAGAGAGAAAGACACATGGCAGAGCGAACCATTCCTTAATGTCCAGCTCCAAGAGGCAGTTGGACAGCGTTATCCAGAGGATAGTTTAAGGTAATAAGCATGCAAAATATATGTACAATATACATTTGGGTGGGAGGGGAGAGCCTGGTATGACTAGGAAAAGATTAAGAAAAAGCGTTTATTTGGCTGTATTTGGAGAGTAAATGATACCTTGCACATCTTGCTAACCATAGCACTTGAAATATAGCCTTTCCCCCCATAATTTGGAAAAGCCAAGGCTGTTTAAAAGACATACATTTTTATTGCTGCATTTGCATTCTACCCAGTTTGAGAGTATTAAGGTTTCTCTGTCTTATTTAGACTGTAGCTATTTCTGTGAGCATAGATACCTAATATCCTTTTACAAAGTTTGCAGCGGAAGTAATTGTAGCCGTGTTGTTTTTATCTGATTTTGCATTTGTTTCGTTTGCCTAGTAGTTGCCTAGCTCCCACAGCAAAACAATGGTAACGAGTATGTGTTTCTGTATGCAGGTTGTCTATATTGTGTGAAAATATAGATATAGCAAAGAAGAAGCTTCCTGTTCATACCTTGGATGGCTTAATATTGAGCTACAAGGTAATACTAGTTTAAATTAAAGAACTGAAATACAATAATGGTTTAATTATAAAGTAATATACAGATGGGGGGAATGAAATAATGTCTTCAATAATGTTTTTCCTCCTTAGGTCCCTTGGCCTGTGGATATAGTTATAAGTGTGGAGTGTCAAAAAATCTATAACCAAGTGTTTCTTCTATTGTTACAAATAAAGTGGGCCAAATATAGTCTGGATGTATTACGATTTCATGGTAAGGTAATTCATGGACACTTCTTTTATTCTGTATAACTGAAATTATAACACTAATAATTGGTGAACTATAGTTACACTGCTTCCAGCATCTGGAAGAACACAATACTTTCTGGGAAGATAGGGCAAAGGACAAAAAAGAATGTAAAAGGTAAAGGGACCCCTGACCATTGGGTCCAGTCGTGAACGACTCTGGGGTTGCGGCGCTCATCTCACCTTACTGGCCAAGGGAGCCGGTGTACAGCTTCCAGGTCATGTGGCCAGCATGACTAAGCCGCTTCTGGCGAACCAGAGCATGTAAAGGGAAGGAATTATGGAAAAGAAGGTATTGTGGCAAAGTATAAGTAGATAGTAGCTGGTTATCAGAAGGACAAGTGGGACTTGCCACAAGATGTTGCAGTGTACCACATACCTGTTTAGGATTCTAGTCAGCCATGACCTTTTTGAGAAGACTCCATTTCATTCTCACTCCCCAACAGTCAGTGAGCACTCTATGCCCACTGAACATGCTCACTTCTCATTCGACTTATTGTGGGGAGTAGGTGGGGAAATTGCCACTTTTACGTTTTTCCACTAGAGTTTTTTGTACTCCTGCAAAACTTGGTGTATTGTGGAGTTGCTGATATCTCCTTGATCCTCCTTTCACCCTTCTCTTGTGTGTGAATGTTGTCATTTTGGTTACATAAATCATTCTCCAACTGTGAATTCTTCACTGTTTGTTTATAAAAAGACCAAGCAGATTGCTTTGAACTATATCTGATCTGGAGTAGATGTGGTTAGCTGTTTATCTGCAGTACAGAGCTGTGTGTGCTCTGCCAAAAATAGTCTGTACTGAGAAAAACTGAATTTTGTCACTTGACTCGGTACCCAAATTGTTCTTTGTGCAAAAAGAATATTGTGGCACTTTTTTACAAAAACGTACCACAAGACCCTTCATTCATTTTTACTTCAACAGACTGTTAGTGTCAGGGCTGGTTCTGTTAGGTTATGCAAGTTTGCCTTTTTGTGTACCTTCTGTAGTTTATTCTGTATAGTCATAGGAACTAGCAGGCAGGGCACTAAAGTTCTTTGGTTTTTTTCAACTCAAACAAAAATTCAAGCCGTAGGAAACTCCCTACCTCTTTTCTTCATGAAATCCTATAAAGCTTAATGCTTTATTTTTGCATTTCTTGATTTTATAAAATGTTGTATAGCTTACTTATAATAAAAATGTATCTTAATACTTGATTTTAACTCTTCCCTGTTTATAGTGATTTTACTAAAATGTGGATCCTGTGCATTTGATTGATGTCCTGATTTATGTTTGTTGTCTTTACATCAAATAAACCCTGCCCTCTGCTGTTTGAACAGTTTATTGGCATCAGTAGATTTTTTTTTTCTACTGAAGAATTTAAGGGCACCTGAACTGTTCAGATGCTGATGATGGCAGAATTGTAGTTGCGGTCGTGCCATTTCCTGTAATATCTTATTCTGTTGTCTTTAACTCTCTTAAGAACTAGTCAGGGCTGCAGAAAAGCCCCAGAACAACGGAGGAGCTGTACTTGAACAAGAGACATTTCTTCACTTTGGATCACAATTGGAGCCCATTAAGCAACAAACTCATCGGATGTTCCTTTTGAGGATGAAACTAATGCATTTTGTTAACAGCCTGCATAACTACATCATGACTAGAGTATGTGATGCATTATAATTTCATTAATAATATACTACTTTCCTTAACAGTCCAGGATGACTTATGACATAGGTGCAGGTAGTTTGACCTTCACTTTGTATGGCAGAAGTACATTTCGTTCATTTAGGCTTTAGCTAATATCTGGAATATGCTTAAAATAGCAGTGGCTGTTCAGATGCTGAATAACCCAATTCTACTAAGTCACAATGCTTTTGGAACACGTGATAGATCCTTCCGTATTACAGTATTCTTGCCAGAACTCTTAATTCCGTGTACTGCACACAGAAGCCCTTTGTAGAACATAAAATGTTTAATAGCCAGCTCAGCTTGTGATCTTGGAGAAAAATTAGAGGTGTAAAACATTTGTCATAGAAGTGTGCTAAAGACAACATTTAAGCATAAAGTTTAATCACTATTTATGCACTCTGTTTTTCTAAAGATTCTTCATAGTACAGGTTTAGAATTTCAACATCAAGTAGAAGAAGCCAAAGATTTAGACCAGCTGATTAAAATTCATTACAGATACCTTTCTACAATCCATGATCGCTGCCTGCTGAGAGAAAAGGTACATCAAGTTAGACTACTATGGTGTATTTAGTTTACACAACAAATACCTATAACACTTGCACTCTATTCAGGGGTTTTATATCATATATAACTGCTATAGCAAAAAATTATCTGTTGGGTCATTGTGAGGGTAAGCAGAGCTCCTTAACCTTCTTAAAATAGCATTTTCATTGTTTGTCCAGGAGACTTAGAATATTTTATTTGCCCAATATTTTGATTTAATTGTTTGCATAAATTGTTTAAACACTTATCTGAATGAGCCTTTATTATATTTACAAAAGCTCTTGAGACAACTGTTTCAAAACATTGAGAAGGCTTCGTTCATTCACAATTGATAGAGGGTGTATGTTCTCTATCAGTAGGTAGAAGAGGAAGGACTATAATGATTCTGCAGTGCAATACTGCTGTGGATGTCAGGATCAAAGCCTGGGGGTAGGGCTTAAACATGTGGAGCCATGTGCTAAGCTGAATGGAAGCAGTTACTCCTTCTTAACCACTCAAACTCATAGCCTTGCCTGACTAGGAGTTAGCACTTACATCCTCCTATTTTGCTGCCAGAGAGCCATGGGGACAGGACACATGCACAACCCTCAGCCCACGCTAGTTTTGGGTGGATAGCTTTTACATTGGGTAGAGCAGTGGAACCGCTTGGGAGAGCTGGGAAAAATGGAAAATGCACTAGGGAAGTGGAACTGCCTTGAACTTCAGTATGGAACTATGATCACAGCTGCTACTTTTAAAATGTCATTTACAGGTTAGTTTTGTGAAAGAAGCTATAATGAAAGTGCTGAACCTAGTACTGATGTTTGCAGACCGTTGGCAAGCTGGTTTGGGAGCTTGGAAGTAAGCACACGCAAAATAATTTGGATTGTAATAATTTCACTGCATTAGGCTTTTAAATGGCATTAATCCCTTACTTGAAACAGTGGCTGGGATGCAGTGGAACAGGCAAGAGACCAAGAATGAAATGGATTTAAGATAGATCTTATCAGCTCTGGGCACATGTGCCTTGATATCAGCATGCTTTTTAAAGATAAGGTTGTAAATCATACATTTATAAAATAAATTATAACTTTTAGATGCTTAACAGTAGAAAGTATTAAGTTAACGTGGCCTTAACTTGGTGTAAGTACCAAACAGGATCAGTATGGTCTGAATAATTTTTCTTTGATTGGTGCTACTGGGAAATCTTCAATGCATTGAAGTTTTGTTTGAAGTGCTTTTATGGTGTGAGAATCATGAGTTTCTCAGCCAGTGACTTAATTTGATCTTTTGAAGATGCAAAGCCATTTTTAAAAGGGGTTACAACAGTTGTGTTGTCTAGACCCCTATATCTTTTTTTTAATTTCAAACAGCTTGATATCTGGATATATTTTCTGCATATTCATGCATCTCCTTTAGAGTAAAGGACAATAATGAGGAAAAACTAGTATAGAGGCCACATCCAAGAACAAACCCTTCCATTTGCTAGGTACCTGTGCATTTACAATAAAAATGTTTGCTAGGACCTTCTAATGTCAAAATGATTTGGGTTTAATCCAATTCATTTTTTGCTGATTTCCACCAAAAGCCCCTGAAAATAGGTGGGGACCCCCAGAATAGTATGGAAGGGTGCAGGTAGAAGTGAAAATAGCCTACCAAAAAGAGGAACCCTTTTTGTTCTCAAAAGTAATTTTATTATATTTTTTACTACCACTTTATTTTTGCCTACTTAAAATGTTCTGTCCTGTTCTCAGGATGGAATCAATAACGAAGATGGAATCTGACTTTAAAAACTGCCACATGTTTCTTGTGACAGTACTGAACAAAGCAGTCTGCAGAGGTTCTTTCCCACATTGTAAGTATTTAGAAAATGAAGGTAAAATTTGATTTTTCATACCGTTAGGCATTTACTGCACAGTGCATTGCTCTGCTTTCTTAGCACTTTCAGTCTCTAATAATTTTAAAGCATAGTTATCTGCTGATAATTATAGGGGGAGGTTTTGGTGTGTATTAACAAGGATTCTTTAGAAATCTATGTAATTCTAAACCAGTTTGTTCAACATGCTATTTTTCTTCTCTTCTGAAACAGTGCAAAATGCAAATGCCAGACATTAAAATATTTCACTTTGTGTTTTGGTTCACAGTGGAGTCTTTAGCCTTGTCACTCATGGCTGGAATGGAACAAAGTTAGTAAAATGCAGATGTGATAAAACTACTCAAACGCCTGCAACTTCTTCTGTGTAACATTGTAATCATCCAATGCCGATTGCTTGCATGAAGTATATTTTGAACTGTGTGGCAGGGTTTTCATTTTGAGTGGGATTGCAGTATTATTTTTAGGATGTACATATTTGTGCTTGAAACTGTAAAAACAGCAACACATTCATCTGTAAATAAAACATTGAATGCAATTATTTATACAGTATACCATTTATTTTATATATTAGGAAATATTTAATCAGATCAGGTCATTCTTTTGTTTTCCTCTGTGAGGAACAGTTACTAAAATTCATATTGTATAGCAAATTTTTTAAAAGAATTTCTGTGAACTTTGCTCCTGTGCATAGCTTGCAGGCTATCCCTGAATGCAGTGGCAGAAATGTTTTATTCAGAAACATTTATTTATTTAATAAGCATACCACCCTTCATCTGAAGATCACAGAGTGGTTCACAACATAATGCAAAATGAGAACGCAAAATACATAATAAAACAAACCAATAACCCCCTCCCACAAACACATATAAAAGGCCATAGAATGTTTCATCAACCAAAGGCCTGGTTATAGAGAAACTTTTTCACCTGGTGCCTAAAGATATGTAATGAAGGCATGAGGCGAGCCTTCCTGGGAAAAGCATTCCACAAACAGGGAGCCATTAGATGCCTTCCTTTTTCCTTTTCCCAAGATAAATTATCACATGCTCTCAAAATATGTCACATGCAACTGAAATCCCAGCAGCTGTAGTGCTATGGCAAATGGTACTATTTTGTTGAATTGTTTTTTTCATGGAAATGAATAGCACAGGTAAGGCACTTTATGCCACCATTAACTTACCGCACATCACAACATTCTAACATTTGTTTTGGCATTCCTAGCAGCTTCAAAATGTTCATTTTTAAGCTTTGTAATCTTAACTGCTAGCAACATTACTGGTGCATTAGGATGGACTATGTTTGCATTATCTGCTTACATAATGTGTAAAGATAATACTTCTCTATACTGCTAATGCATTTCTAGTTTAACTGCCTTTTATGAAACCTGATAGCAAGTGATTTGATTCTGGAAGGAATTTCATGGGAAATATATCATGAAGATTGTAGAAGATTGTGTAACTCGACCTTCACATGACCATAAATATATTACTGTCTGAAAACTGGCTGTTGTAACTTGCTGCTTTTATAAGGTACCGGTAGTTTCCCTTTTATATTGTGGGGTGTGTGTGTGAAGCTTTTGGTTAATTCCTTATTAAGGCAATACCAAGCTTGCTAAAAAAAATAAAATTGACACTGTGCCTCTTACTATGGTTGAGAACACAACTCTTTACCAACTTTAGAAAGTACTATTTATTTAGTACTTATTTTTTTAACTTTGAGGAGGGGGATGCTCAAGTATTTTTGTGTGTGTGTGTGTGTGTGTGTGTGTGAGAGAGAGAGAGAGAGAGAGAGAGAGAGAGAGAGAGAGATGCATGTTGAAACACACACAGAGAGAAAGAGTTCTGGTCTGTTTGTATTTGTGGTCTGTGACAGAGATACACCTGGGCAGAGAGAGTGAAATATGTATGTGTGGCTTGAATGTGAGAAGTGCATGAGTGTGTGTGAGAGAGATGTGTGGTTTGACCCACCTGAATATTTTTTGTGGTACTGGGGATTTCTCTCTTACTATTAGACAGTAACAGTATTGTCTGGGTAGGAATTAATATTATGTGATCTGCATAATTAGGAGCAGCAAGGCATAGGTGACTTTCCATTACAAGCATGAGGTTGTCTGGAGGTGGGAAGAGTACTGTACTATTACTAATTTTGTGTGAAGCCATCCCCACGGAGTCATGTTGTGTTATGTCATTTCCTTTCTCACAACAACCATTTTGTATTATTTTATAGCTTCATACCAACTACGGTACTTTGTGAGTGGCATCCACAGCACTTTGTCAAAATGTGCCCACTGGCCCAGTAAGATTGACAATTTGTAAAACAGAATATTTAACCTGGTTTTTAATAAGATTTCAAAATAATGAAAGCATCTAATAATCCCAGTAAACAACCAAATCAGTATAATGAACAAAGCAAGAATGGACAACATGAAAACAGGTGTTCTCTTGAAGAAAACAGTCTTCAGCTGTCATTGGAAGTAGAACGGGGCTAAATATGCTTCATTTAGACTGGTTTGCCTGCTCCTTTCAGAGGTTCTATAGAAGATCAGAACAGGATCAGGATGTTTTTAGAATATTTTAACATGTGTGTCTTTCTCCTTCAGAAGCTCCTTTTAGGGATTTGATATCCAAAGCCTTGAAGGGATTTGATATCCAAAGCCTTGAATTGGAGCTGGAAAGAAATGAGTCTGTACATTCTGTTCTAGAATAGGTGAAATATGAGAGAACTAGTCTCCACCTCTCAAGAGGTGTTGTTGATTACTGCACTAGCTGATGCTTCTGAACCATTTTCAAAGGCACCCAGAAAAGGAATGACTGGCCAGGTTTCTTCCAGCAACCTGGGGACTGTGTATCACAGTTTTAGGGATATAAATGCTTGCGCGGAAAGAAAATTATACGGAACAGTGCTAACAATGTGGCTTCATTTGGAGGGTGGGGTGACTGCACAACTTTTAAATCATGGATTATATAAAATCATGTGGCTGGCCTTTTTTAAAAAAATGTTCCTTCTGAATGGGATACAGCTGATGTTGCTGTATTGTAGCTGATTATTTAAAAGCTGTTTCACATTTCAGACCTTACAGAGCAAGTGGTGCTGGAGAGTTTGGATGTGACCCTTTGGCCACCAAAATTGTGGGTGTGCTGAAGCTACTGCCAGTAGGACCCAGAGGACACTCCTCTCCCAAACCCAAGTGTTTCTGGGGTGAGGTAGGGAAAGGCAGAACTGGGCATGGAAGGGATTTGCTGGGTTGAAAACCAGTCCAGCTACTACCAGTGAGCCTCACCAGGCCCTTTTGCTGTGGCAACCTAGAGCAAAAAAAGGAGAGAACCACTCACCAACTTTTGTTCAGACTAGCATGAATGACAGGATCTAGGATGCAGCCTTGGCTCAATTCTCCATGCAGCTCTCATTCCCAGATGGGATTTAGGGTTAGGGTTAGGGTTCTTCCCTTCAAGATTTAAAGCTGTATTATTTGATCCAACCATGGCCACTGGTCACACCACCTCCTGGCAAATAGAAGGGGAAGAATTGGAGGCAGTGAAAGATTTTACTTTCTTGGGCTCCATGATCACTGCAGATGGTGACAGCAGCCACGAAATTAAAAGACGCCTGCTTCTTGGCAGAAAAGCAATGACAAACCTAGACAGTAGCTTAAAAAGTAGAGACATTACCTTGCCAACAAAGGTCTGTATAGTTAAAGCTATGGTTTTCCCAGTAGTGATGTATGGAAGTGAGAGCTGGACCATAAAGAAGGCTGATCGCTGGAGAATTGATGCTTTTGAATTATGGTGCTGGAGGAGACTCTTGAGAGTCCCATGGACTGCAAGAAGATCAAACCTATCCATTCTTAAGGAAATCAGCTCTGAGTGCTGCCTGGAAGGACAGATCGTGAAGCTGAGGCTCCAATACTTTGGCCACCTCATGGAAAAGACCCTGATGTTGGGAAAGATGGAGGGCACAAGGAGAAGGGGACGACAGAGGACGAGATGGTTGGATGGTGTTCTCGAAGCTACAAACATGAGTTTGACCAAACTGCGGGAGGCAGTGGAAGACAGGAGTGCCTGGCGTGCTCTGGTCCATGGGGTCACAAAGAGTCAGACATGACTAAACGACTAAACAACAACAACAAATTTGATCCAACGTGTGCATTAGTTCCAGATTGCTTTATGAGGGTAGATAATTTATTTTTTTTAAAAAAAGACTATTAAAAGCACAAGCCGAGGTATAAAATGGGCGTTGCTCTTTACAAAAAGGATGTAATCGGTTTGTCCTCATGTGTCTATAAATTCCAGACGGAACGTTTGTGACCTTAAGAATCATTCTGAAGTTGCCTCAGCTGGACGCTAGAATGAGAGGACGCTAGGATATTTAGAAAGGGTATGTTCCATGAAATCTCTAAACTTGCAATGAAAGAAGGCACGATGCGTGCAGCCGAAATCGTTCAAAATCGTTTTTGTGCGGGGTACCTAACTTCACAGCGTTCCGGGGTATGAGCTGAGCGCCCGCCGCCTCCAGCCTCCCTCCTTCCCTTTGCAAACCGGACCCGTTTCGGCGGCTGTGTGAGCAAGATGTGGGAGGAGAATCGCTGGCTGGGAGGAAGGAGGAGCCGGAGGCTGGCTGGGCCAGGCGAGCGAGCAGGGTAGCTTTGCCTTGGAGAGGAATGGCTGCGGGTTTGGGACGGGACGGGGGAGGAGCTGCAGGAAAGGGTGTTTCCTGGCACGGTTTCCTTGTTTGAGTGACTCAGACAGGAAACTCCCTGCTTCGTGCGGCCCTGGGAAAAGGAAAGCGGCCCTGGCGAGGACCCCTCCGCCGACGCAAAGGCACCCTCTCGCCGTCGCGCTCGAGGGGGGAAGCGGCGCCTCAGGGAGAGCAGTGCCGGGGGCTCCGCGGGCTCCAAGCGGAGGTAAGCCGCGGGCCTTTTTCGCCCTTGGAGGCTGCGCGAGAGAAACTTTCCTTGAGGCGCGCCCTTAGCCGCCCGGGGAGGAACTTGCCCTCTGCTAAGCTGCTCCTCTTTGCCTCTCTTGCAACAAAATGCCGGGCATTTAGAGCTTCGGCTGCATGCAAGAGACCCGAGCCCTCCTTCCCCCGCTCTATGGCCTAACCAGAGGGGCGGACGTCTGTTTCTGCCCGTGGATTTTGGGGCGGGCCTCGGCGCTTCGTTCCAAACTTCCTTGGAAGTTTCGCTGCCTGTGAAGCGGCCCCGTTTCTGTCCCCCGAGCCTCGCCTCATTTTGGAAGGAGACCGAGGGCCGGAGCAGCCAAGGGGGTGGGTTTGGGCTTGGGGAGGGCAAGGCTCGTCGTTCAGTGGCGGGCTTTTGCGGGTGTCGTTTTGCTGCCCGTGGTGAGCAGCGGCCTCGGGCAGCTTGGTAAGGTCGTGGGGAAGGTGTAAAAACAGGAATTTGGAAAGCACTTCCGCGCACCAGCTCTCCTAACGTGCGCGCAAGATCTCCCTGCATCGCTTGGTAAACACTCAATGTGGCATGTTCGCCCTACACAACTTGACCTAAGATAAATTTCATGGTGGAGTCGTATAGCCTACACAGTATG